ATTGAAAATACTGTTTTCTATTCTTTCTTTTGTTACCGATACAGTGACAATATTAATGTTGTCAGCTCTTGCCTTGGTATTCTAACAATATTTAACACCAGGAAACTGAATAACGTAATTATTTCTTTTAAAAAATATATTTCTCCAATAGCCATAAGGAAAAATTACTGCATTTGTCTGTTGAAATATTTTAGCTTTAATGAAGTAGTTCAATAAAAATGAAATATAGTAACCTGAAGATTTTGTGAGGGCTTAATAACTTTTATACATAGAGCATAATAATGTCTACATTAACAAAAGTTGATCCAAGTCAGTAGATTGTATTAGTATTCTTCCTCAGTATTTCTCACTGTAAAAAGCAGGCTCATATTTACAACTTGTTGAGAAACATAAACATTAGAGCAACCTCATTATTCATATTTTCCCAGTAAAAATAGATCCCCATCTATCTGTTATATATTGTACATATATCAATGAGGTTTTGCTAATACTTTTAAGAAAAAATGACCTATTCTTTCTAATGCTCTCTTTTTGAAACATTCAGCTATGCAAAACTTTCTTAAACATAAAGCCAAAACAGATTGTTTTGAAGAATTTCTATCCTATTCTTCAGCTGAAATGGTTCCCAGGATGGTTTCCATCAGATCAATAGTTTCAGAGAGGTACTTACCTTAATTTTTTTGCAGCAAAAAACAATAGAGGCAATTTAAAGGCTGACAAATTTACAATTTAAAAGGCACAGCATAAAAAGAAAGAGGAATTTTTTATCAATACTTAAATTATAAAGTTCTTATAATGGGGCCAAATGAAGTTGGTCTCAAAATGGAACTGAATGGTGCAGTCCTATATAACTCCTCTGTGTTCAGACAGCTGGATTGGCTGCAGATAGATGACAAAGATAGAAGGAGTCAGATGGGACAGTTTCAACCATTCCATTTATTTTCATCAAACAAGATGGAATGGCTCTGATTCCCTGAAACTGTTAACATCAAACATGAAGGAATTGAGACTCCATGGTTGTGTGTTGATGTCCACAATAATGAGCTATTTAAATATGAACAGCAAAGAAGAATGATGCTTGTGATGTTGCCAAAATTCATTATGAATTTTGTCATTATGATTAGACATAAATTCATTATGTCTAAGGAGATGCATATCAGTGTCAATTAGATCCACACAACAAGAGGGGAGTTCAGAACTGAGACTTTGCGGCAATCTAGAAAAGAAACATAAAACATGGGGGCCCAGAGCTGCAAGTGGCCATGTCTTTTGTGGCCCCCAGAATAGGTGGAGCCAAATTTCCTTGAATTGGGGGGAATTTAAGAATGGAGGTTGTGGATCAAACTGGATGCCTTAGGTCTGGCAGATGGTTAGGGCACCCATTTCTCCTTTTAAAGCTCCTGAAATGCCCCCAATTCTTGTACTGAAGATTTTAACCTCACAGCCTTTGAGTTGACAAGTTGTTCACTCCTGATCTAAGGAATGATCTAATGCTCTAGAGATTGTTGGTGCTGATCACAGTAATTTTCGATCTGTCTATATATTTACAGTATATCTATATATCTACAGTATATACCTGTATCTGTTTAATATGTACCCCATTTTTCTGCTCAAATGAGAACCCAAGGCAACTAATTTAACACAAATTCAACACTAAAATACAGAAGGAATGCTAACATAATTTACCTATTACCATCCTGGTGAAAGAAATGCGACTTCATAGATTTTCTAAATGCTGAGAGAGCATGGGCAAAGCACAGGTTTCTAGGGAGTACATTCCATAGCCTGGGAACAATATAGAAAAAAATCTCTTCCACATATCAGGTAGATTGGGACATCTTTATAAGGATTTCTCCTGTAGATTTTAATGACCAGATAGTTCTTAACAGGACAAGATCTTAACAGATAAGCCCTTAGCCATTTGGAGCTTTAAATGCCAGTACAACCTACACTGTTTCAGGGTAGGCACCATGTAATTCCTGTACTTTGCACTGTCTAACATTTGCTTAACTGCCAAATGTGCCGTGTGCAACTTCCAGATAGTTTTCAAGGGTCGTCCCACATAGAACATCATGCAATAGTCAAGATGAGATGTAATTATATTTAGGCATGGGTCATTGTCACCGAAACTGACCAACTGGCTCACTAGCCTTACTTGCGTGAAAACACTTCTTGCCATCATCCGTGAAAGCAGTGGCAGCAAAGGACCATGGAGCACTTTGAAACTGCAGACCTCCTTGTTCTGGGAGAATGTTTCCGCTTCGTTCAAAACAAGTTGAACTTTGATTCCTGATTCCCATTTCCTAGTTATCAACGCATTTCTGTCTGGTTTGGATTAAATTTCAGCTTCTTCATTCTCACCCTGCCCTTGTTAACTTAAGCAATATTGAAGGATACCAACTGCTTCCTGGGAGTGGCATAGTAAGAAGCAGTAGAGGCAGTATTATCAGCATAATAGTGACACACCACTTTAAAGTTCTGGAAGATTCCCCAGACGTTTTGTGTACATGTTAAACAGCATGACAACAAGTTAAAATCCTATGACTCACCATAGAAATATCATATAGGAATTCCCCAAGGCAAGTTTCTGAATACAGCCCATAGGACAGGAAGGGAACCATTGCATAATGGTATCCTAAGATGAATCCTGCCAGACAGTGCAGAAACAATCATGGTCAACTAGATTATCTGGAGCTGCAGGATCATCTTGTTCTTCTTCACATTTCCCAGAAATAAAATATTTGAATCGCACAGATCTGATGAGTAATCTCCTATAAACTGAGGCAGAGGGAAAGGCCACTTATCTATGAAGACTGAGAGACACACAAGACAACTTACCATCTTGTTGTCTGCTTGCTAGTGGTTTATAAACCCAAGAGACTCCTGGAGTATCACAGAGACAAAATCAAAAGGGGTAGGAACACTGAGGTCCCCATGGAGATTCCAAAATTCATTAATACCCATCAAGATCATGTTTGGAGCCCTAGATTTAATTTTTTGTTGTTGTTGTTGTTGTTAATTTGTTTAATTTTGTTTTCCTTGGAATATTTGTCACATTTCATTTCATATATTATACAATGTCCTTGTTTCTTTGAGGCACATTTTAGCAACATTTTAGTTTTCGGTGCCACAGGTTATCATGAATTTCTCCTTCAATGGAGAAAAAGGTTCAGAGAGTCCATATGATTTAGTATTTGAAGTGTTGAATCTAGGGTTAGGGAGACCCAGATTCAAGGCCAGCTTCAGTCATGGAAAGTTGCTGGAGACTTTGGGCTAAACACTCTCTCCCAGCCTACCTCACAGGGTTGTTTTAGAGTTAAAATGAAGGAGATCCCTGTGTCAGTTGTTATAGGGTTTCATTCTTAACCACGGTGACGCCCGTTCTTTCATTTTTTGTTAAAGCCCTTTTAAAAAATAAATAATAATTTTAAAAAACCATAGTGACACCAAAGTGATGAAATGTGCATTGTGATGTCTCAACACAAACTGTGCCTTTCTGCACTTGCATCTTGGGATCACATACCAGGTAGTGTTTGCATCACAATATTACACTGTATGTTTATCACTCGCTTCCCTCCCCCGCCCTCCCAAATCTACGTGAACTACCCTGGGGTCAAATAAAAAGGATATAAATTTAGCATAATAAATTCACTGAATCTCTCTTGATCAGCAAGGGAACACTTTGTCTGTATGCAAATGTTGCCATCACTTCTCTGATGTCAGTGATGACAAAAGGGGATTTCCAAGACAGTGCCAGGCAGAGCACAAGAAATTTGGATCTGCCAAGTGCAGCCATTCCTTGGATGAGCCACACGAATACTATAAGGGGCCTGGATCTTATATATTTTCTGTTTCATTAGAAATATTGGTAGGGTGAGGTGCTTTAAAAAAAAAAAAAAAAGACAACTTATGAAAAAAAAAATCCTTCCATTAGAAACCTAGTCTCAGAGCAGACAGTGCTCTTGGTATTAAATAGCTTCATTTGTTCACTGAGAATTACATTCTTCTTCCCCACAGAGTGATAACAAAAATGAAGGCTCTAAATGAACCTCAATGTTTGTTTTAAGGGCAGAGAAGGACCAAACACAGAGCTGCATTCTACCAAAAAGTGAGAAAGGAGGAAGATTAAAAAGAAAGAAAGAAAGAACTAGCTACTTTTCTTTAAAATGGAGAGCCAGTTTGGTCTAGTGACACCAGGCTAGAAACCAGGAGACTGTGAGTTCTAGTCCAGCCTTAGGCATGAAAGCCGGCTGGGGGACTTTGGGCCAGTCACTCTCTCAGCCAAACTCATCTCGCAGTGGGGAAAATAGGAGGAGGAAGGAGCATTAGATATGTTCGCCACCTTGAGTTATTTATAAAAATAAGAAAGCCGGGATAAAAAATCTAAAAGAAAAATATCCAGTTTTCATCTACTTTTTTTGTTGATTTAAGCCAGGTCTGCACAAATAAGAGGGGAAAGGGCCAAATTAATACCTTAAAAATAATTGTGGGCCACAAAGGAATAGCTGGCACATTCTTCAACTGTTTGGCGGCTGGCAGCGCAGCGGCACTGATGGAGCTGCAAGTGTCGGTGAGCCCTGGAGGCGTTGGGGGTGCTTGGCAGTGTGTCTTTTGGGGTAGCGATGGCTGTGAAAAACTAGCCTGAGGCCATGGAGCTTCCTGGCAGCGGTGACGTTTGGCAGCAGCAGATTTGTTGAGTTCTCAAAAAGAGATGGTGGGCCGCACAAATCTGCTCGGTAGACTACTATATATGTTGTACAGGCCTGATTTAAGTAGACCAGATGAAGTATTCATTGTATGACCAGAAAAAATGCCAATAAAATGATAATAATATACATTTCTAGCACCCATTGAAAATCCATATGTCATAGACAAGTTATCTTTCTTGTGGCAACTATCTCATTCTTAAGTTGCTAATATTCTCAATATTTCAGAGTTTATGCTCTCCAGAGTAAGAATAAAGCTCAGAATATATTGGTGCTTTGTTTTGGGTTCTGTAGCTGAAGTCTTCATGGAACAACAGCATCTCAAAGAAGCAAGCTTTTGTATCCAGGAGGCAGCCAGTCTCTTTCCCACATCTCATGCTGTGCTGTACATGCGGGGGAGGCTTGCAGAGATGAACGGCAGCTTGGAGGAGGCTAAGCAGTTGTATGATGAAGCGTTAACTGTGAACCCAAGTGGAGTGGAAATCATGAACTGTTTGGTAAGTGTGTACAAGGGAAGCAGTCTATGCCTATGTCCTTGCTATGGCCCTTGGAATGCTGTGATGTCCCAAGAATTGTTTTAGAATTCAGGTCAGCCATATGATTGGAAATATTTCTAGAAATCCTTACTTGTACTTCAGTGGGTCTGCCAGGTCGGTTAATGCTTTTAATGTTGCAATTTAGGTGAGCTCCTTACAATAGTAGGGACCCCTAATTTGGGGGGCCTGGTGGACACATTTGGAATGTTGAGAACATGTTGTGGGCACTCTTGCAATATTCTCCATTTAGCTATTGTTACAAATACTTATAAATAGACACATCCTCCATGAAATCAAGAACTTAAGAATCATAGGGCATGAGGTGATTGGTCCATCTAGCCCAGGATTGCCTGCGCTGACTTAATAGCAGCTTTCTTGAGATTCAGGCAGGACTTTTTTACTCTTCCTTTGAAGGCGCTATGGATTAAGTATGTGACCTTCTGCCTGCACCTCAGATGCTCTGCTGCTGATCTCATCTATGCCAATCTCCTTCAAAATCTAAACGGCTTGGCTATTACCACTTCCTGTGGAAGCAAATGCCCTGCGATGTATGACGACAGACTTTGCTTAACAAAAAAATGTGCATTTCATATGTGTTGCCTTGATCCTTCTCTTTCTAACTTAGCCAATAGAATTATTTCAGCTCCATTTGTTCTGCACCAAGGATTGTTTTATTGTTTTGTTCTTTTATGTTTGCTGTTTCCCCTCAGGCTTTTCTTGCTAAATGAATTGTCTTCCCCTCAGTTCTTTATTTCTTAGCAGCGGTTATTTGTTCGTATATTGTGTGTGTGTGTGTGTGTGTGTGTGTGTGTGTGTATGTGAGTGATGTTTGGTTTTTTTGTTTTTCTTTTATTGAAAGACAAAGATAGTAACAATTATCTCTGTGTGACCATTGAATCTCTGCTGTTGGATTTGAAATGCTTGGTGCCACCTGAACAATCCAGTCTACTCCTTTTGTAAGCAGGGCTCTTTGTCCCTGATATATCAGCATTAATTAATGCAGCGTTCCTCTGTTTCCCCTTAGGCTGCCAGAAAATATGATTTGAAAACACCAGAGCTGATTTTTAGCAAAGGGCACAAGTCCAGTGGCAAACAAGCGGTCAATATAGTGATTCCTGCAAGCAAAAATAAAGTTATAAGCATACTTGGGATTTTCTCCAAATGCATTTATAACTTTGTTTGGGGGGAGGGGTATTCAAAGAGAATAATTATTAAATTATTAAAATCTAATGCTGTTCCATGATAAATTGGCAGCCAAATATTGGGGCATTTTTTTCTTTAAATGTAATTCCCTCCATTGTTTGGCATCTGCATTTTCACCTGTTAAGGGTATTGTACTTGCAGCTCTGGGACCTGGTCCATCATATTGGCAGTATCTCCTATTGCCTAACAACCCATTCATATAGCAATTAACCATAACTACGGTATATGTTCAATAACTTTTATCTAGATTTGGACTGAAAGGACCAATAGATAAGATATTAAATGCAAAAACAGGAGGAACCCAGAATCGCTAAAATATTTTAGATAAGAACTCCTTGGCAATAGTATCACTCAGAACTTAACAGCAGGCCATAACTTAGAAAGTTTTGCCACATGAGCTAATAAAGATTTTATGTAACTATATTATATCAATGCATATTTGAGAAATTGCTTTTCACTGTATGTAGCAAACATGCTATACTATGAGAATTCTTCAGAGTTTTTGATATTTGTTAATAATAACTGCATCGAGCTACATGTAATACTACTAAGCATTCCCAAATGTGCCCATTTCAATTTTCCTCAGGCTGTTATTTTCCCAACTTTAAGTTCATTTTGGTCCTTGATTTCAAAATCTGATGAAAACAAAATGGACAAAAATTAATGTTGAATTAATCTTGTATATTTCTCCTAATATAAATTCCTGCACATACTTTTATTTGTGCACATCTTTTTTCAAGTTTTCTACTGATATAAAAGTGTGTTTTTTCTCGTGACTTTGTGTGCAATTTTCAGAGTACCACTGAGTGAAATTCTGAGTTGTGAATTTTGACATTCTAGTGTTTATTTTTGGGAGTTGCAAATTGGTAGAATTCATATAAAAATTTGGACTGAATGCTGTCTCTAATGTTGCCACAATTCATCCTGCTGCAGTTGGGCCTAGCAGCAAAAATGTTATTCTATTAAAATGCATTTGTACATCTTAGTGAAAGAGCTGCAAATGAGTTAAAGAGATCTGGATGAACTTACTCTTTGACAAGAGGAAATATGTATTGCTTTGATAGTACTTAAGTTCACACTTTCAACTAAAATAGTGGAACTGATAGAATATTGTTTAAAAGTTACTTGTATAAGCAACACAAATGCATTATTGAAGAAGTCACATACTAAGAAGTATAGAGGGACAACTGAGGACAGTACAGTTTCTCTTTAGATTGTTTATCAACCTTCCCCAGTTTAATGAACTACAGGCATGATGAACAGATATCCATCATTTCCAGCCAGCAAGGCCATCTGGTGTGCATCAGGTTAGGAACGGCTGTTGTATGTGGACAATTGCTACAATTAGTCCAGACATGAAGGATAACATCTGATATATTGTAGAACACCTTCAGGTTCCATGTTTTCCCTTGATGCACTTCATAAATATATTTTTTTGCCCCATTATTTTAAAGCAATATGGTCGATTGTGGTTTCCTATGAAGATATTGAAGTTTAACACGTGGAAGACAAATTCTAAGAATGTATTCTAAGGCAGTTGAAGGTAAAGAAGACACCAGACCCTTTGTGAAACTGCTGTTGGTTGCCAAATCTAAACCAGATGTAATTAAAAAATGCCATTAGCGCTTATGAACAATCAGCATGGATCTAGTTCCCTGCACACTTTTGAATATGGCTTTCCTACAGTATACTAGCAAAGAAAAGTTGACTAGCAGAAACTAACATAAGTACATTTGGATTGCAATGTTTGAAGGAACCACCTTGTTGCAAAGTCTTGGTAAGTCTCTGTTTCCTAATTTTTGTGAAAACTTTGCAATTTCTTTCCTTAATTTCTGATAAAATATAAGTCATGTTCAGTAGACACAACTTTCCAATGTCACTGAAAAATATTGCTCATATCAAACACTTACCAAGGCAATCTGCCAATTGTATGCCACATCAAATAACAGTAGGATCAGGAATGTTTTACTGAAAATGTTGTCCAATCTCTAAGCAACAGTAGAATTAGTGTACTTGGGCCATAAGATCATTGACAAATTCAATAATCAATAGCAACTTCACTACAATATTGGCACTTACTCATTATCAACTGATCCATCTAACGAGTGCATAATAACTAAATATTAAAATGAAATTTCCTGAGTTTCTGTCTTGCTTGGATACATGTATTATGATACTAGCACTTTAACAAATCAACAAACCTTCTGCACTCTTGGCAATGATCAACAGAAAATTCAAGTTCCTGTTCAACCTATTTATGAGGCTTTAGGGTGAGAAAGAATAAATGCAGTAACTGTTTTTAATGCTTTTAAAGGCTGTGGTACCACCTGTGGTTTTGTTGATAAAATGAAGCTTTCATGTTGTAATATTTTCAAGCAATTAAATGAAAGCATTTTAAAAGCTTTTGCTGACTTTGGACTGGATGTAACACCGTCAGATGCTCTCAACTACTGCATTAGAACGTTCTTTTTTAAGCTGCTTATGGCAGCTTTACAAAAACTAATGCTGGAGAAGTCAGATGAGCTTCAATCAGAGGAGATGTCTCAGTTCATCCTGTTTTTTTGAGTTCCCATTCTATGGACACATCACCAATATATGATAGCATAACCTCAATACTAATATGAACCTCCTAAGTTGACTCCATTGCCACCAGTTTCATGGTTCACACCTATCATACTATTCATATAAATAAACCAGATAGCCATCAAAATTTTGGAACTGTCCTTGCTGTGGATCTGCATGTGCTGCCTTGAAAAGCAATTTGAAAGTGGATGAGAATCAAATTCAGAAGGGCAGGAATCAGATATTGGAGGATATGCAGGTACCAGGTGAAGAGAACAAAAACATCATCATTCCATGTGATACTTCTGAATGTATTTTTTAATGCTCTGTACTATTATTATATCAAGCCCATAAGCAACCTTGGTCTCATTGTTAATGTGTGTCTACTATTGCCTTCAGGAAGCAATACTTCAGAATAGGAGTCTGCGCATAACGATATCTATAGAATAAAAATTACTCAGATATGTATTACTGAAAAAAGTATAACAACTAAATTGGTTGATATACCCCACTCTCCACATTGGTTCCCAAATTCATTTGGATAAACTAACTGCATACTTCACATTGTCTCTACTTCCAAAGTTATTGATACATGATTTGTCAGAATTATATCCAGGGTTTAGGTTTTCAAACTTTCAGAAGAGCTCAGAACTATAAAAGAAATGTCCCTGAAATAGGATTGTTGTACAGACTAGGAGCTCCTCATCCTGCTTGTAAGTCTTATTCTATCCTGTCCTTCCCTATCAAGCCACCCTTTTGTGTCCCCTAGTAGCAAATCAGTTGGACACCAGGAAGATGTTATATATCTAAAAATCAACCTCAGAGTTACGTGTTTGTTCTCAGATTGTTACTAGGTAGGCTTATCATGTGTCAGTTTTAAGGGAGTATGTTTGCCTTGACGTATAGCAGATCATTGCTCTGATTTAAGGCATCTGTAACACAAAACACCCCTGTCTGCCCTGTGAAGCATATTTCAGCTTATCTGCATTGCAGTGACTACCTATAATTATCCATTAATTAATTGAATTATTTATGATAAAGCACCTAAAAGCATCAGTGCTTTTGGAACTAAGAATGCCCAAAACTACATAGTGTTCCAAAAAGTGTAATTCTCCCACTTTAGAATGCTTTGTTCAGGGGGGAAAAGAGTGATCATAAATATTGCAAGTGGGCATTAAAGTTTTTATCTGTATCTT